CCAGCTGTGGTCATGTGGGCTAGAACACTAGCACAACATTTAAAAAAATGGACTATATAGCAAGATAAAGATATTAATAGTTATTTTGCAACCATCCGCTAAATTAAATAAAATGATGTGTCTTCCCTAGTTTGAAGAGCACCCTCCGCCCTCCCTCAATTGCGTGCACTAATCCCATCACCACCAATCCCAGCACCACTTAGCGGTCAGCCGCCGTAGAGTCAACATCACCTGAAGATGCCTCATGTAGAGGCGAAACACGTGTCGTATTATCGTCGATTGTGTGTCTTTCCTAGAATATTGGTGTTGGGAGTAGTGGCGTTGGGAGTAGTGTTGCTGGGATTGGTGGTGACGGGATTGGTGCACGCAATTGAGGGAGGGCGGGAGGTGCTCTTTAAACTAGGAGACTTAGAACTTAGAAGACACATCATTTTATTTTATTTAGCGGATAGTTGCAAAATAACTATTAATATCTTTATTATAATGGATTTCCGCAAAGTAACGCCTGATTCTATCAATTACATAGCAAGATTCAAACTTGAGTGAGTTCCGGCAATGTGATCTACATTCATTAAAGTTCTAGCCCTGTTAACATGACTTGACAGTATAAAAGCTATTGCATACGGATAGCCATATTACGTGAGCAAATCCAGCTTGTAGCTTTGTTCGTGAAAACACCGAGGAAACGAATTTTACTGGAAATAAAACCTAGCTCGATAGAATTTTCACCCCCATAGACCCCATACTGTAAATTTCATTGAAATCATTAGAGCCGTTTTTGAGAACACGATTTCAAAGAAATTTATAAATATTGCCCGTTTGTAAGTATAGGATTACTACTCCAAACTAAAATAATATCTAGCTACAATAACATACAATTAAAATTTGTTATGCTGCTTTAGAAGAAAAATAAATACTAAATTTAGCTTAATAAGAAGATAATTATTAGAATCGGTTGATATTTTGAAATCCATTATATTAAAGTTATTGATAAAAATTTATTTGGCTTGCCGCTCACTTAGCGGTCAGCTATCGCAAAATCTACTTCACCTGAGGGTGCCTCGTGTAAAGGCGAAACACGTATCGTATTATCGACTGTGGTATGTCTTTCCTGGTGTATTGGTGTTAGGAGTAGTGGCGCTTAGATTAGTGGTGACGGGAACAGTGCACGCAAATAAGGGCGGGAGGTGCTCTTAAAACTAGGTAAGACATATAATTTTATTTTATTATGCCGATCTAGATTATCTAGATATCGGAACTGCAGGCATTAGTCACGTGTATGAAAGAGGAATGTGAAATTAAAGGTCTCCGTTTGAATGCTAATAAAACTAAGGTTCTGGTATTTGAAAAGGACAAAGAGAGAACGAAATGTGAAATATGGGTAAATCAGGAATGTCTAGAACAGGTAAATGAAATTGTATACTTGGGGAGTGCTTTCAGCCGGGATGGAAGATGTGATTTAGATGTGGATAGGCGTGTCGCTGCCGGAAACAAAGTCAATGGTGCCCTGAATGCATTAGTAAAAAGGCAAGGCGTGGTGAAGAGTGCACGCCTTGCAATACATAATGCAGTGTTGGTACCGACTTTGTTATATGGCAGCGAAACCTGGGTATGCCAGAAGAAGCATAAAAGCAAGTTGAATGCAGTGGAGATGCGATCTCTTCGTAAAATGTGTGGCGTTACCTTAGCCGACCAAAAGCGAAACGAAGAGATTCGCAATATGGCAGGATTGAAAGATGACCTTATCACAAAAATTGATAGGGGCGTACTCCAATGGTTTGGGCACGTTGAACGAATGAGTGAAGACCGAATGGTGAAGAAAATATATAGAGCGAAAGTAAATATTAAAAGGTGTCGAGGTAGACCGAGACTAACTAGACGACGAGGAAGACCATGTGAGCAAATTGCTCGAAGAGGGGAGGGTCAAGAGTACTCGGATACCTAGACGTGCATGTATGAAGAAGTTAATGAACCTGAAAGAAGCGAAAGAGGTATGTAAGGATCGTGGCACTTGGCGATCTGTTCTCTCTGGCTACCCCGTTAGGGATTGTGCGTGAAGATAAGTAAGTAAGTAAGTAAGTAGATTATCTAGATTATCGGATTGGTAAGCTGAAGTGGCAATGGGCCGGCCATATAGCTCGAAGAACCGATAACCGATGGGGAAGAAGGTTCTCGAATGGCAGCCTCGTACTGGTAGGCGTAGTGTAGGGCGACCCCCCACTAGATGGCGTGACGACCTGGTAAGACACGCAGGAAGTCGATGGATGCAGGTGGCTCAGGACCGTGCTTTGTGGCATATCTTGAGGGAGACCTATGTTCAGCATTGGACTTGTGAAGGACTGTAATGACGCTGATGATGATGATCGCTCACTTAGCGGTCAGCTATCGCAAAATCTACTTCACCTGAGGGTGCCTCGTGTAGACGTAAAACACGTATCGTATTATCGATTGTGGTATGTCTTTCCTAGTGTATTGGTGTTAGGAGTAGTGGCGCTTAGATTAGTGGTGACGGGAGTAATATAGGACATATTATTTTATTTTATTTTATTAAGCGGATCTAACCAAATTAATTCCTATTAATGACTATAGCTTAATATGAAAGCATTAGACTAATTTAAAATAATAAATAAAAGAATAACTGAAGTGTCTATCTCGACAAATTTAATTTAATATACGATAATATTGTCGTGCAAATCATTATGCTAATATATTTCTCTTTTGATTTTGCTTTGAAATAAATAAATGGTTACTCAACGGTGATGAACTCACATCACATTTTTTTTTAAATTAAACGTTTACACGCCTTTGATTTTTTTAGTGATAATGCCAATGTTAGACCAAGGTACCATAAATGTTAAGTACGTGCTTAAGATGGTAATAACATTAGCCCCGAAGACCCGTTGTTAATTTCATGAAAACTTCGAGGACAAAGAATATTTTTACATTCTTGCTAATATTACGTCTTATTTAAAAATTCGGATTTTAGCTGCCTTCGGTGTTTCTACTAATCCTAAGAAAAACATAGGCATGTTGTATTTTTTCCAAAGCTTTTGATTATGCTATATATGTATTATTTTCTAACAACCCACGCGGAATTCCCCCACTCTGCTTTCATAAGACATTTTCCTTATAAATATTTAGGAACTTTTTTTTCAATTTATTATAAATAGATTAAGAAGTGTGAGCAAGGTATAACATACATAGTTCCTTTATTTTTTTTTACTATCTCTTTTACTTATACTCTGTAGTATTATATCTATATTACTGCTAGGTTGCGATTCATCAATATGTAAGGAAAAGTGAAGTAAAAACAGGTTTATTCATTCCGGTTTCATTAGAATCTTGCCTGTCCTTCGGCATTTAACATAACGGAAAATATGGTTGACCCTACAGGTCATCCCTGCAACTTCCCGCTAATTTCAAATGCAAAGCGCTCCAAGTTTACCTGTTACGACGTTTTTGAGAGCTTTGAGCTTGTTTGATTTTAATGCGGTTTGTGGCAATCGACGCAAGTTTTTAAGCTTAACAAAAACATTTATCACAAAAATAATTGTTTTGACGAAAATTTAAAATTTATTTTTAAAAAACACGTTTTCGAGATTTCCCATCGACAACGATATCTCTTGAACGAATAACGACTGACTTTTGAAGCTAATATATTATTGCAGAAACTAAACATATTCGCTATATGCCAGTGAAAATCCCGTCAAAATCGGTCCAGTTATTTCGAAGATTACCCGGAACAAACAGACAGACAATTTTTTTTTTTTTGTTATAATTACCGTATATAGGCATTTAGTAATAAACTGTTATTTTGAAATTACAAACAGGCACTACAATTTTGTTTAAACTACGTGTAGCGTATTTAATAAAAAAGTAATCATTAAAATTAGTTTACGAAGATATCGCGTAACATACATCACAAAGAAATTTATGTTCGCAATGCCTCCTCCTTCTTTATAAGTCGACTAAAAATAGCGATTTCATACAAACTTGATACTACCAATGCTTGAAATACGAGTTCGTATTGAAAGTATCAAATTTAATTAACGGTTGATAAGCAACACAAAAGCCAAACTTTATTTAGAAAGAGTAAAGAAAGAAAGAACCATTTATTTTATAATCACATTTTACACAAATTTTAAGAAATATAAATACAAGGGGCTAAAAATTACATACATTAATTATTAATATGCAGTACATGCAAGACGATTAACAATAAAACTTATAAAAGAATATAAAATTAAAATGTGGCATCAAATAGGTCACCAACTCAACATAATGCTGCAAAGGCAGCACTGGTTTTCAGTTGGTGCCTTGTCAACAAGTCAGTGTGTGAACCTTCAATTTTCCATCAATTACGCGTAACTGCGACTTATTGACTTTAAATACTTTAATTTCACGGTTTTCATTCGCCAAAATAATTGCTCCTATTAGATTTATGGTATTTTTCGATCATGTTTGTCTCATCCACCAACAAGTTGCACTCATCATTCAAAGGTGGGAAATTTACAGAGATACTTTATTCTGTTGTTATATAAAATATTATGGAGGCCAGACAGTCTGCAGTCCCACCATGAAGGAACCTGACTTGGGCAAAGCTAATTATGTATGAGTCAAACCAAGACGCGAAGAGTGCCATTAAGAATAGCGATTCGCAAAACAACCAACCCAGGGACGCAATGCTGTAGAACGCAACAAGCATCAAAATGAATATCGTCGGGCGTACACCATCCCATGGTCCCTCATAAGATCCCATATGAGTTACGTAGTGTTCCACAACGGCATTTGTGTCAAATATAACATTCTTCGGAGCTGAAACCATTGCCATATCCATGGCCGCCTCTATCGCGGTCAAACACGGTGAAAAATGGTAAAATAAATTTATGTGAAATATTTAAAACGAAGACAAAATGACATTTCAATAGAAAACACATTCTTAAGCCCATTTTAGTTATTTATTTTAGTCTATGAATAATTGAGCTGAACAGTTTTCAAAGTCATTTTCCACCACCGCATTGGCGCCGGATGTTATGACATCCTTCGGTGCTGAAACCGTTGTCATATCCATGAACGACAGTAGTACAAGCGAAGTCTTTACTCACGATGCCCACATCACCGTAACCACAGCCGTATCTTACATAACCAGCGCCAGCTGTAGGCAATACACCGTCCACCGTCAAAAGTGCGGTGCCTAAGAATGGCAGCTGGCTGATGACCGACAAAATGCCCGAAATTTCGTTATTGGATGCTACGGATACACCGTAAGGAGCTGTGGGTGAGCTACTGATCACAGTAAAACCTCCACCGTCGGCGGTTGCTAGCGCAGCAGCTGCGTTAGCTGCAGATAATGAACAATCCGTAGATGCTCTGAATTTTATAAGAAATACTTATATTGGAAAATAGTAGAATCACGTTAAGTTTAAAAACAATGACATGAGCACAAGTGAGAATATATAAAGTTTTACACTCACCGGGGCCAACAAACCGAAAACAAAAGAAATAACGAAACCCGTAGCGGCCATCCTGTTTGTTTTCCAGTAATACTCCCAGTGAAGTACAAAGACGGAATGATTCTAGAATAATGCATCACACATTTATATTCAAATATTGGTACGTTAATCAGCTTTCATTACACCTTGCAAAAGTACGGACTTGCAAATCGGCTGCTTATCATAACCTCACGTGAGCTGAGAAGGAGAAGAATATTTACTCAATACGAAAACAATATATTTGTATGAAAATTATTTAGAAACTAATGGTAAGTACAACACTATAGGCTATCAATTTCATTTTCATGAATACATTAATTACGAAATGATAAAATAAATAACTACGATGGTAGTTATAATGGTATAAAAGCGTAGACATAAGTAGCAATCGTTAGTCAGTCGAATATCAAACCAACATGTCTACATTCTCCTACTTTGGGCTATTGGTGTGCTTCTATGCATGCGTCGTACAGGTAAAAATTAGTTTGATAAGTAACAGATTCTCTGTTTAAAAATGATACTTGAGCTTATGATTTAAATAACTTCATACCAATATTTTTTTGAATTTTTAGGACGTATTCGGCCAGTGAAATCAACACGGTCACGCAATTGGATATGGGGCTGGTAATAATGGGTGCGGGTGTTGGGGAGGTAATGGACTGGGTATCATCAATAATTTGCGTAACGGCTACGGGTGGAGTGGTACTGAAGTTGTCGGAGCCTACGGTGGAGTCGGTACAGGTGACTTGGATATCGCTGGTGAGCTGCCAGTCGCGCGTCACCACTGTCGCTGGACACGTACCGATACTAGGTGCCGTGCGATTCGGAGGTGGAGTGCCGGCAACTGGAACAGTTTCTATTTGCGGAAAATGTGACTGCGATTGCAACGGCCTGCCATAGTTTTGATGTAATTTTCCAACGTTTTTTCCAAATATTACTACTGAAAATAAAGCATTTGAGGCATATTTATAATAAAGCATTTTTTTTACGTGGTAGAGCCATGCTGCAGTTATATTAGTAGTATAGTTGTAGCACGAATGGGTCGGCTCGACCGGGGAAGGACCACGCTCTCACAGAATACCAGCGTGAAATAGTAGCTTAATGCTGCTGTATTTCGTATGGTGAGTGTAGAGAACCGGAGACCCTTTTTACTGGAAACGAGGCATTCCATCTCAGTCCTCGCGGGTGACAACGCATCTGCATTTTGATTTTTAATGGAGGATAGATGTAGGTCTATGGGCCGCAGCAACCACTTACCATCAGGTGGACTGTGTGCTCGTTTGTCACCCTATTCTATAAAAAAAAATATTTTTTTAAATAGTGACCCGAATAGTATAATCAATTTTATATGATGTCAATGCTATTATTCAGGTGACTTTTACAGTCTTCTTTTTAATAGTAATGTTGACAAACGAGCACACAGTGATGATAAGTGAATCTTGATAACGATTCAAAATGTACATATGCGTATGCACTTAGGCAGATTGCCTAGTTACTATTAAAAAACTTACGACGGCCAGACGACCGCTCAACTAACGAAGAAGTATTTTAATGTATTAAGATCGAGGAAAAGCATTTTGAGGAAAATTTCTCAAAAACTTTTAATAAAACATAATTATTTGTAGTGATTTTTATTCCTATGCAATATCTATGTATGATAAGTTACGTCATGATAAAAGCAAAACTACTTATGCCAACATCATTTTGTTTAACGACACAAGCAGACAGTATATTCGTTTATCACTTGAGTAATAAAAAAATGAATCCTAGAATTATTTAAATAATGTTACGAGCTTGAGGTTCGTGACAAGCTGCCGATTGAATTACCAAAATTTACATTTTTGTTACCGAGCACCAATTAAAACTTAAAAGACACTAATAATTAATCACACTGATTCACTTCACTTCGCTCCGAAGCTTCGCTTGTCTCGCCAAATTCAATACTGCCCCGATCGCGGCTTGCAGCGGCTTTTGGCCCTCAAATGATACAATTTTTCGTTTCGTTACAATTCGCTAAAGTTTAAAAATTTGTCATTTTGAAAGCTATGAATATATTATGAAAATGATTATATATATGTATATATATATATATATATATATATATATATATATATATATATATATATATATATACTGTACTCCACCTCTAGAGTCCACTGCTGCAGGTTTTCGTTGCTGCATTGCACGCGATCTCTAAACTGCACTTGAAAGACGTGTTCCAGGTGATCGTCGCCATATCTAGCCTCCAATGCCTCAAGGAGCTGCTCGTAAGTCACTTCTTTACCTTTCTTTATATATATATATATATATATATTACACCTCACTGCCAACTCTCTACGTTGCCGTTCAAGATCTTAACTGTCAGAGAAATCCTCGGCGACACAGTGTCCCCGATATGGTTTTCTCTAATTGGTTGACTCTATTCAGTGCAACTCCTACAAGTCTTAGATGAGGAACAGACTTAGATTTCTTATTTCCAGCCTTTAAACTGAGGAGTTCGCTCTTTTTGTTATTATGTCCGAGCTTATGCTATGCCGATGACATGGTTTTGTTGAGCCCATCGATCAGGGTCCTCGAAACGCTAGTGGTCATGTGTAAGGTAAGGCAGCTAATAGTCTCGGACATAATAATAAAAAAGAGCGAACTCCTCACTTTAAAGGCTGGAAATAGGAAATCTAAGTCTGTTCCTCATCTACATTTGTAGGAGTTACATTGAATAGAGTCACCCAATTCAGATATCGGGGACACTGTGTCGCCGAGGATTTCTCTGACATTTAAGATCTTGAACGGCAACGTAGAGAGTTGGCAGTGAGGTGTAATATGCTTGCCCGTAGGTTTGGTAGGTGTACGAATGAAGTTAAGATAACATTATTCAAAGCATAGTGTTAGACATTCTACACCTGCAGCCTGCGGACGAAGTATACTCGGCGAACTCTCAATGTGCTATGTGCTCAGTACAATAATAGATTCAGGATGTTGTTGGGATTGCCAGGTTTTTGCAGTGGATTGCGTATTTGCTGAGGCACACGTGGACAGTTTTGCAGTAATATTACGCAAAAGAATAGCCTCCTTGATGCGTCGCGTGCGAGACAGCACCAACGGCCTCCTAGCTTCCATATATGGAAGGCAAGATTGCCCTGTGATGAGCTACTGGAACACAGTGCATATGGGTTCCAGACTAAATGTTTAATAATAATTAAATAATAATTTGAATGTTATACAATAATTTATATATTCCGTTAGTTTACTAATCCCTAGTTATTAAGTTCTAAGAGTACTGACAAAGTGTGTGTATTTACCTGAATAATTAAATAAATGAAATAAAATTGACGTTTGATATTGAAAAATAAAACACTTTTTTTTTTCTTAATGTATATATTTATTTGACCGTAGAATTAATCCTCATTACCTATTTGCCATTTTGAGGGATGATAATTTATGCCTTTGCGATAGAGCTCTGGGGATTTGACTCTACAAAGACTGTTAAGAAATTTTGTACCAAAATTGACCGAATAGCGAGAAAATGGTTTTTGATTGTACCTAGGTCTGTTAATTACGAAGGAATTTAATTAAGTTAATTATGAATTCTTACTACAGCTCTTGTAATGATAAAACTGTTTGTCGAATAGAAATGGAGCATGAGTTATCATGGAGCAATAATGACAAAAATTAATTGACAAGTCTGGTGTGTTTTGATTGTTTGTTAATGTATTTACATCTAATAATATGTATTCAATATTAAAAGAACCATAATAAAGAAAATTTGAAATTAAAAACTTAAATTTTCATACCGGTACCCCGCGGTATCGCGTCAAGAACGCTGGCAGCGTTTCCTCTCTGAATGGCTAAACTTAGCCTTTGAGTGAGAAAATAAAATATGCTCTTATCACCAGCAGCAACGACCAGTCGCAGATATAGTTGCTTTAGGAACTTCACCACATAAAGACACCATGGACCAATAAACTCTAAAGCAAATGGAACAAATATGTAGGCATCTCTCATCGTCAGCCTCTGAAAAAAATATTAGAACCTTGATGAAATTGAAAACTGTGAAGAACTATTTATTATTTAAAACTTCTTTATTAAATAAAGTAAAGTTCTTCACAGGACACAGAACCTTAAAAAACGGCTCTTTTCATAACCACAAAAGGTATACAATTGATGATATGTCATACAATCTATCTAGCAGTAGTATGCCTTCTGTGTGCTTTGTTAAACACATCCTCGACGGTACTGAATTATGAAACTGAAGAGTGGAGACACATCAAGATTGGTGTATTTTTTATAGGAGAAAGCACAAACGAGCATTCGATTCACCTGATATTAAATGACTACCACCGCCCATAGACAACTGCAACACTAGAGGAATTTCAGGTACGTTGTCGGCGTTTTAAAAAGGAGTAAGCTCTTTTCTTGCAGGTCCCTAGGTCGTATCGGTCCGGAAAAATTGCCGGTCATAAACTTTTCCACAGAGAGGTCGTAAGCGGAAGAAAACTCCTAGTAACACGAACAGTTGCTGACCGCCAAGCAACCAGATGGTGTGGATGGTATCGAGAGGTTTGCCGCGAAGTGCGTTCATGCAATTTGGCGCCTAGGATTAATCAGAACCATTCCTCCGAGCAGTCCCCTTGGTAGATGTGAAAGAAAGTGTAAAGAGATGCAACATCTCTTCGCAACGCTACTCTGAAGCTTGTTGATTCGTTTGCATTTCAAACTCAAAAACCCACGTCTCGTCACCAGTAACAACGCGTTTCATGAATGTTGGGTCGGAATTGATTCGTTCTATCATGTGCTCAGCGACTCTTATGCGATTGAGTTTTCGTAGAATATTCAGGTCTTTTAGGAAGGGCCGATCAGCAACATGTTTCATACCCAAGTGATTTTTAAAATGGTATGGATCGACTCGTGAACCTAAAAATTTCGGCAGCCATCTCTTTCAAACTTGAATGAGATAGCTGCGCAACTTCAATGAGGATTTTCAGTCACTATTTCCTTCCCTTTTGCAATAATAAGTCTTCAGTTGCAGACGTTGATGGCCTACCAGAGCGAGGCAAATATATAACGCATAAGCACCATTTTTTTAATAAAATCGATTCATCGTAAGTCTTCTGTAACATTTCCAGTGATTCAGAATAAGAAATTCCATTGGCGACGCAATATTTAAGTCAACCTATTTGTTCGATGTTTTTGTCCATTGTGAAATTTGCAATACACAGTAGATATGATATAACTAAAAACAGCACTGTATTGAATCTAAATAACAGATGTAACTCAAACTCCTTACCAAAATGGAAAACAGTTTTGCCAATCTAACAGCAATGACTGAATGTAAAGTAGAGAGGGGGGGAGGAAGGGTAATAGTAGGTACAGAAATTAAGGTTTATTGGAAGGAATGGAACGTGTGATGAAACGAGGATTCTTTACAATAATGGTAAGCGAAAACATAATGGCTGAAGCCAGGTCAAATACCGAAAAATAATGATAAATTATTGGTGGTTACTTCAAGGTGTTATTCACTAAAGCTTTTTAAGATCCTGTGTATCAATAACAACACATTACTTCTGTGGCGAACTATACTTTATTTAATAAAGGATTTTTAAATAATAAATAGTTCTTTACAGTTTTCAATTTCATCTGAGTTCTAATCTTTTTTCAGAGGCAGACTATGAAAATTGCCTACATATTTGTTCCATTTGCTTTAGAGATTATCGGTCCGTGAGGTCTTTGTGTGGTGAAGTTCCTAAAGCAACTGTATCCGCGATTGGTCGTCGCTGCTGGTGATAATAGGATATTTTATTGTCTCGTTTAAAGGCTAAGTGTAGCCATTCAGAGAGCTGTGTAGCCATTCATTCATTCAAGAACGCTGGCAGCGTTTTTGGCGCGATACCGTGGAGTGTCTA